CTTAGGTTCCGTATACATTCGATCCATCTATCGTTACGGTACCGACTTCTCACTAGAGTGACATCCAACATGACTGCAGCGTCACTTTACAAGACAGCGGTACTCAACAGGAAGAATTCGAAGAAGGAACGAGAGGAAGAGAGAAAAGAAGGGGCTACCAAATACATTGGGTGAAAGTGAAGCAGTTGCCAACTTTATGGGGATTGGATGAACATTAACTTCACCGCAATCAGAAAATAGTTGATATTCTATTTGTTCCAAATTTTTTTCATACTATGTAAACTTAAAGTCAGTCACATACACTGGACGTCAGCTATTTTACCAAACGCAGTTGGTGAAGATGGAGCCAAACCAAAAGGGAAAGAGGTAGAAACAATTTGTGGAACGTGACGACGGCATTCATGGTGACCTTCTGTTGTTGCGATCATTGTCTAAAATTATAAAGACCCTTATTAAATTTAAATTTGAGTCATCAAAATTATCTTCCTGAGTCAATGACACCTTCGTCGTCAGAATGATAACAATGGAGTTGATGTAGAAGATTTATGGATGTTTTTTTTTCGGTAAAATATCTGAAAAGCATCACTGAGGCTGTAACAGTTCTTTGGTTAAGACTCTCAAACTTCTATACTCCTGCCTCTTAAATATGTATAGGAACCTACTTTGTACCCTTTGCTATTAGCTTGAGGGGTGGTTAATTAAAATTGTCCTCTCTAAACTTCCATCCAACTGTTCACTTGATCGAGCTGACCTGCGGAGCACTAACAAATGCCAAATTTCCAACAGACACTTTAAGTGTTCGGCAGCCTCAACCTGGCAAACTTTCTGCACGAGAAAGTCATGCTTATGAAGATGGCTGCATAAAATCCCAAATTTTTCAACAAAATCATCGTGGAGAGTTACACTGCTTCCTACTCAATGTCTTCTCCTAAGTGAGGCCTGCCATAAAGCAGGTGCAATGCCAGTGCTTTGATTATCCAAGTTCTTCATGAAAGGGCTGTCGAAGTCTGCCCTTTCCCTCTCCCTTCCACCTTTAAATGAAATTTATTTCTTTTCCAATGAGCTGTGTGGCAATCAACCGTCAATGTCTCATACAAAATTGCACAACAATTGGCAAGGTAATGCGAATTTTACAGACTTACACCCGCGAAATAGGGAGAGGAAATGATCTGCTAAGCCTACACTAAACTCTACATCCTGGCCTTCCTAGTTCTAATTTTTTACGTATGCTGGGGTTTCCCCTTGTTTCCTTCTCATAATAAAACTCCTTTGTTTCGCTAACCGTATCACACATGTAGTGTGCGTAATCAGATAGGCGAAATGATGGATCGCGCATACTTCGCATTAGGGACGAGTGCGTCACAAAGTGGGGAAGAAGTAAAGAAAGCTGGAGATAACAGTTGGGCTTAATTTTTTCTCAAAGGCGACCGCACCTTTTCCTTCCCTTTGATCATATTTTTCCCTTAATAAGTGATTTATGTGAAGACTTAATGTGGAAACAATGAATGGGTTGAGGCTAACACGGAATTTGCAAGTTTGGGGGCTGACACATCACGTTACACCGCTCTTTAACCTTACCAAGAGAACTAATAAAGGTTTGATTCCATAGCTTCAAAGGCTTCTGATGGAGTATTTGGGGTGTTTAAGCATACAACAAAGCATCAAAAACGTACCACCCAGGAGTAATTGAAACGACTTGGAGACATCTTTTGGGGACTTATCACATGACGAACCTTCGCAAACGTGCAGTCGCATTTCAAGTAGGTGATGAAACATTTCGTTTACGCTCTAAAGGAAAGAAAAGTTGGGATAAGAAGTGCCATTTGGCAAATGGGATAGAGTGTTTCACTTTGCAGACAGACCCATAAATTCCATGCAAGTGTCTCGTTAGGAAGAGATTGTAGACCGTAAGCCAAGGTCTGGAAGACCAGGCCTTTTGCTAGTTGGCGCACAGCTCGACCTTCTTAACGGCTCCAAAATAAGAGACTGGTCTCCTTTTTCTATGAAACACAAACAAGCATCAATGAACCCATTCATTAAATGACTAATTTTAAAGCGTCTACCTCCATCTGACTATTGTCAAATAAGCAATAAAGATACAATTTACAAAGAGGTAATCAAACCTCAAAAGTCTTTCGTAATATTTCCTTCGTTGCTTCTACTCGTGTCAATTATGGGGTCATAAACAAGCATTCCACGAACCGCTGGTTGATAGCTCTCGAAACTGCCCGTCAACATGTCAGCAGATGAGTGGAGCCAAATACTTGTATAAATGCTCACTTTTCCACCCTTGTCGCGTCGTAGCGAATGTATGAGGAGTAGCGAAGTGTCTTAATGACATTGGGTAGAGCATTTATATAGTGATTCGTTGATCTTCAAATTCACACTAAACCTGTATTAGCGAAGCTCCATCTCTCCACAGCTAGCTTATACTTTACACTGCTCACTTTTATCTTAACTTCATACTACGCCAAATTTGGCACCACATTTAACCTCCATGCGTTAGGAGAAACTTCCCAATTAACATTCATCAGATGGAATGAGAATACAACTGGCCATTAACTACTTTTTACCCTTTTACAAATCAATGTTCAATCAACTCACTAAATACACCTAATCGTATGCCTATGACTTTTGAGACTAACCTCGAAGTTAGTTAATGTCCAAACAAACCGATCCGTGTCAACGCACTGGCGAATGGAGTAGTCGCCAAAAAAATCAATACGTGTGCGTTTAGTCCGAAAGCACCTCCATCTAATCAAGATGCCTCTTCGCATAAAACCACTTAACTAACCAACTGCCCAACTAACTGTGGATGTCAGCGCTGCAGACTCAGCCTTTTTTTCCTTACTCCGCTAACAATAAGGGCGTCGACTTGCTTCACCCATTTTTTACCCCCTCTACTCTTCACATTGCATGTGCTCTCTTCCCACTGCTTCGCCCCTATCCCACCAAAAATTGAAGGGAAATTGAATTTGGAAGGAAGTGGCTATTTTATGCCCAAATATTGACACCACCTATTTTCCTCTGGTTGGCTGAAGGAATACCCAACAGGAATTAGGAAGAAGGGTGTTTGCTTCTAATGCGCTGATTCGATCGGATTTAGATTTAAACTGACAAGATGAACAAGGAGGAGAACCAATCAAAGTCAATATTAAAGCAGGATCTTGTGGTGAACTAGAAACTTTTAAAATATGCAAATTTGTGTCAATAATAAATTTTGCATTTGTAACCAATTACGGCTATTCTTATGCACCACAGTATTATTATCAATCATCACCTTCAGGGCATTACGAAAAACCAAGCATTGCCTACTTTACTTATTTTATGCAATCAATAGAATTACTTCCCTCCCTATTCATTGTGCAACACATGGTTAAATTGCGAGTCTGGGTGAGAAGCCACAAATATGCGGCGCCACAGGCGAAAGTACTTTGACTAAGAAGTTTACTGCAGCAGCCAGATACAATGGACAAATGCTGGTGATTCAACACAGGAGCGGCTAATCAGAGTTTCATACAACGAGTCGAACTCTTCTGTTAATTACCCACCCACCAAAGATTAAATGAGCCTTGAGATTAATTTGAGTCTGTGATTGGTTTATGGAGGGGGTTGGCAAACGTCTTACAAGTTGGCGACTTCTTCAGCAAATTACAAACGGAACTTGCCTTAATATAAGCTGCGGTTCCCTTTTTTTTTGTAGCATTAATTTCACTTACCGAATACGGCAACTGCCAGGCGTGGGTTGGGTTCCTTCTTGCAGTCCTTGAAACCATCCTCCAAGACTTTAATCGGTGAGTTGCCCTCGCTTTTATCATGTCAAAACTATGGAAATGCCTCCACCATATACTTTGAGGTTCTGCTAAAGAAGGCTTGCATTTTTTAAGCTTGAAAGGTGTCAGCTTTCTAGAGTGTGCAATATCCAATCAGGTTCCGCTAAATTAACAACAAAGCTAGCATCACCGACTGAATGTTACTGAGCACAACCTCGATACCATTTTCATGGCCACTCAACAGCCTGTAACTTTAGTATTATTCAAAATTTCGGCCCAAAAATTTTCATAGACTGAAAATGGGGAGAAAAAAAGAGGATTCACTTAACATATCAAATTTACGAAAGTGCAGCACTCATTACCCGGCAGTTGCGTAAAGTTGTGGGTAGATTGAAGAGAGGCATTGCGGAGTGTCTGATTATTAAGATTTAGGTCTTTTTTCACCTAATTAACACCACCTGTCAATCAAGAAAAGGGAATATGAAGACACGCAATGACGTAGTGATCTTAGCAACCGTGGGAAAAAGACTAATGTCGTGATAACGCTGATAACTCCAAATTCGCCTTCTATTACCTGTCACTGTTGAATACTCAGCCTGGTGAGTTGCGCCTGTCGTGTATTTGCGATTTCTGACAGAGAGAAATGAGAATGTGATGACCAACCCGACAAAAAAGCAATTAAAGGGTTTAGAGAGGTCAGCCGCCTTATGCGAGGAACCACCTCAGTTTTTAATTCAATTGTCTATAAAAAATCGTAACATAGTGAAATACTTCAACTTCTAACCCATCACTGCATACTAAAGGCTAGGACGCATTAGCACGATCTTCAGTGGAAGCCACTACTATCGACGTCGCACCATCCAAACTTACTACTCATTTGATTTTGAGCCACTTTCACTCATTGATCTTCATGGAATAATTTCAAGTAAAAAACACCGGTTCTTCTAAAAGTTTAAAGTGATTTTCTTTGTATATATATTTATATATAAAATAAGGAATGATTATAAGGGCTGGGGTGGAGGTCAGGCATGAAATAAAACAGCAAGAGAGAGAGAAAGAAGGTTGAAATAAGAACAGGAGACAAAAGTAAATTGAACCGAGAAAATTAAGAATTCAAAGCGGCTTCTATTCACACCAAGAAAAGGAAGAGGAAAGGGAAGAGTGTGCGTTCCTCATTTCGCGCACAGTGTGTAAATACTTGTAGCCGTGGCATCTTGTGGCTCATATTCAGCAATGCGGCGAGGAGTGCGCCAGTGGTGGCTCTCTGGGTTTTCGATCTTGAAGAGTCTGTGACAGCATTGACATAAAGTGCTCCACCAAGTCCACTTGAATTGGCATCCAGATGTAATTTCCATTGCCGTTGGAGCTGTTGCTGCTGCCATTGCTGTTGTTGGCTCCGTTGGTAATGGTCGTAGAACCACTCGATACATCCTCAGCCGCCTTTTGATTTGACTTCGTTTCAGCTTCCATCTCATCAGACTTTCCACTCTCTGTACGTGACACGTCAAAAGGCCGAAAAATTGATTGGGACTGGAGATGCGGTGACGAAGCTTGTAAAAGAGGTTTCCCATCCTCAGTGCATCTGGAAACTCGTTGAATCTGCTCCTTCAGTCGGTTCATATTGATCATATGGCGTTGCCAATGCAGGAGTGACCGATGATCGGTTGTAGGAGGCGGAGGTGGAAGAGGTTCTTCATGTTGACCTCCGCTTACTGGTGACCAGCAATCCAACGATCGCGGTTTTCGGTGCACGGGCAGTGGAACTGATGGAGGAGAAGGATGCGGAGGATTTGGGCTAAAATGCAGAGACTGATTTTCGTAGACTTTTGGAGGTGAGGTCATTGAACCATGACAGCTGCAATGACAGTCGGGTGAAGAAGATCGTTTGGAGGGTCGATTTGGTGGCAGAAGAGCTTGAAGCATATCCTTACACACAAGTGAAGCCATCGTTCCAACACTTTCTGAGGTGGATGTAGGAAAACGTGAATTTTCGCTAGTTTTTGGAAGGTTGGGATAGAGCCTCGTAAAATTACAGGAAGAGCTAGATTGGACTGCATGGAAGGGGAAAGAGGTGGAGGAAGTACTTGGCACCCCAAAGTCAAATGATTGACTCAAATTGGAAGGGAAAGGAGGTTGATAGTGGCTAGGACTTAATTTTGGTACATCTTGACTAGAAGAAAGCACCTGTGGTGACTTGGAGGTTTGTGGGTTGTTAAAGGAGTCCATAAATGGCGTCGTCGTCTGTTTGCTAAATGATGAGAAACCGTTGAAACAATTCTCTGACGAAATACCGACGATGGGTTTATTTGAAATTGATTGTCGTCGTTGAGGTTTCATTAGCTCTGGAGGAAAGATTGACTCTACAGTCCCCTCCTCCACACTTTGCATTCGAATGAGACCTTTCAAACGATGCAGACCGATAAATTGGTAGACGAATTTGTGTCCTTGAACCTTACGAATGATGTTTTTCTGATAGTAGTATCGAAGAGCACGAGAAAGCTTATCATAGTTCATTCGATGATTGTTGTCTTTTCGAAGACCCCACAATCGAGCAACCTCCTCAGCTCGAAGTAAAACAAACTCTCCAGCGTTGTTTGTCCACCGAATTATGTCACAGTATCGCGGATCCAGCAGAAGTTGCAATAGAAATTGCCATAGGGTAACTTTTCCCTTCGTTGTATCGAACTCCAACTGCAATTAAAGAGGCGAAAGTGAGTCTAAAAATGAATGCACCAAATCAGGACTTCAAATATCACAAAGCAGTAAGTTATTACTCATGACGTTTACACTTGAGATGCGTTAAAATTACCAAGTTGTGGATCAAATGGGCTCAAAAAACTCCTGCAAAGTGTAAATAGGGACTGCAAAAGTATTTGCCGAGGCTGAATCACTATTTAATTTCTTTCTGTCAAATGTCTTTCTGAGTATTAACAATGCTTGAAAGAAGACTTAAATTAATTTTTCTAACAAAGAAAAAATAACTTTGAAGTAATATTGTGCCATAATTATCAAATTGCCTTAATAGATTCATCCACAGGGAAGGGGGGTGAAACTTTTTAATTACTTAACCTTAACGACTTAGAGATGGAGAGACGAGTGTGGGTGGCCACAGGAAATGCGAGGCACTCAAATTGAAATGCAGAAGAATAAAATGCTCGAGAAAGATGAGGTTGAGGAGGTGGGGCGTTGGACAGTGGAGAGTCACAATTTACTTTGGCGCCAACGTTGGCTTAGTGGGTGACACAAGACGATGCAAAGTTGAATGCAATAAAAAAATGTAATGGAAAAAGTAATAAGTGTCCTGCCTGTTTTGGAATTTGTATCAAGTCAGCTAGTTGGTCAGTCAGGCAAACATACAAATTGGAACCTGATACTTTAAAACCTATTAATTTGAAGGCAGCAAAGTAAATTGTAAACCTTTCACTTCCTGATGCTTTCAATGCATAGCAGAGAGCTTGAACTTAAAGCAGCACTGATGGGCTAATCAAATACAAATCGGAAGTTTTAAGCTTTAAAGGAGGCATTTGACCCACGAGAATACAAAAAAAGCAGTTCACATTTAGCTGACCAATATAAATTAAGTCTCAACATTGATTAGTGCAGATAAATCTGCAAAATATTTCCTAACTGTGCCTCCTCCTCATTTCGCATGCAAAGCCGACTCACTTTGTTCCAGTCAGGGCGTTTGGAGGTGGTGAGGGTGGTGGTAGTGGTGACAGTAACAGTCTTACATGAAAATTCTCCTTCAATGCCACTGACGCCAAGTATGGTCGAAGATTTTCCGTGCACAATGCATCCGCAGATGAATTATTCAAGTGAGAGGTGAATGCTCAAGGCATACAGGCTACCAGGCGACAGAATAGACGAGAAGGGGGGAAGGGAGAGTAGGAGAGAAGGGGGAGGAAAGGCAGGGTAAAGAGAGAAGGCTAACTTGACCGCTAATTAGCAATTCCTTTGTTTTCCATGAATGCGCACCTTGCTCAACTGCCCCCTATCTCAATCTTCGCACCATCCTTGTCTGTGAGGAGAAAGGGACGTCCGATTTTGCGTATATCCTCAGCACACACACACACACATACCGTCGTCGGCACGGTCACGTAATTACAGATGGGGCCGTGTTGTCATCTGTCACGCTTTTAAAGGGGAAACTAACACTCAATTTAATAAGCCTGTTTAATTGTCTTAACTCTGCAATTTTCTCTTTTTCCTCTTCCTCAATTAAAGCCCCAACTTGCATGGCTATAATAGATTTAACAGAAGGGACGATCGCCCTTTCTTTATTACTGGCATTACAGAAGTTAGTAAAGGAAAGATCTGCGCTTACAGCTTCGAGGGATCGATGACAGCAGAAGAGTAGACTAATCAGTAACAACGGCCAGTGTTGTCTTTTGCCTCGTCTAAGAAGCACCCCAAAGGACTTCAATGAGTTTTAATGGGCAATATAACCTCATCCCCCAGACATGTATCGTCACGCACGCACACCCACACACAAACTACGACACGACATGTTTCCGTTGTGGCTTTCCTCACGGACACACATGCGCGCACACACACACATTGTGTTCGTTGCTCTCTCCCCTCCCTTGCTTTTTACGGACTTCCGTTAACGCCCTTTCCCCTCCATGCTTCCGTGTTTTTTTGTGAGTGCGTGTGTGTGCGTGCCAGCCATCGCATCCACCCATCCGTCCCCCACCCATTCTCTCCATCTCGCCTGTGTAGGCATTGTTTGGGAGCATTGTAGAACTCTTGTTCCTTCCCTCTTCCCCCTATCGTTTCCTTCGCAGTGACAGTAAAGGAGGAGAGAGAAGGAAGGAAATGAAGCATACACTGAGAATAATCAGTAGGCTGTGTCTTCCGGTTAGATCACATGTTTCTAGGGCTCTAGCTATATTTAATTGACTGCGCCAAGTTGTCGGAGCTCAATTAACAAGGAAAAATCGATACTCGGATTTCCGCGCCCCGCATCCGCCTAACCACTTATGAAGGAGGCACCTCCCGAAAATGACTAAGGTTAGGCTGTACATCAATTACCTTTGCATTCATCAATGGACAGAAGAAAAGAAAAAGAAGCTAGAATAAATTACATCGGCATGCAATTCGATGACGTTATATAAGGCACTTGAAACCTTCTTAGAGTAATTGTCATATGTTACAAATATGCCCTGCCGACACTTGAATAATCAAACCGGATATGAAAGTAGATAAGCTGATGAGGCACTCAGAGAGGAAAATTAATATCCTTTGGAGCGTACTCTAAAGTAACTCGTACCCGCGCCTTCTGAAAGTTAATTATAAAAATTCAAATTGCTCTTTACAAATAAGTTAAGGCTAAAATGACTCACAAAAGCACAACTAGGTTAGATACGGCTTATGAGGGATACTTCTTTCAGATCCGAGGAGTGCAATAAACGGAGATGTAGTGGCCATTTTAGCAGCGATAATCAACGACGTAAAGTAAAATGCCACAAAACTTTAAACATCTCTACAAGCAACCCCCAAGAACAAAGCTATTCACTGCATTAAAGCGAAGCGAGTAGTTTTTTTTTGAAACCATTAGTATCTTTTGCACATGAAGAAGAAATGATATTGCGACAAGCAAACATGCCAATAACTGTCGTGCTCTGCTCACACTTTGCAAGATTGCAGGTGGCACCTATTAACTCTGCTTTGCAAAAGAAAATATGAAGCCAGTGTAAATAGTCTAACTTACATCTTCAACCTCGGGTGTTTCCGGCGATCCATAGTAGTAAGTTCGGCCGCTCTGCAAACAGGTCAGATCATCAACTGACACTCCACTAAGGCCCATCGAGGGTGGCACAGAGTGAGGCGCCTTAAAGGCGCTCAGAAATCCTGAACTCGGAGGTACTGGTGGGGTGGAGAAACCCTCTGAAGCCGATTTTCTTGGGGATTTAGGTCGATATATCGAGCAGTCTGTGGGCATCTCGCAGTCCTGTTGTTGCTGCTGTTGCTGTTGCTGCGGGCACTTGGTCTCCCTATAGTCAGGTGGTAGATCTGGCTTTACCGATGGCGGGATAAGCATCGGAGCTATTGACATCTCTCCTATTGAGAGATGATGACAAATTACTCTCTCTCCTTGACTATAAATGTGTGTGCGCGTATGTTTATGTATTTATACGTGTGTGCGTGCTTGTGTGTGTGTGTGTGTGTGCAGGGCGACAAGTGAGTCCAACGGCAGCAGTGGTGAGGTGGTGGTGGCGGCACTGACGGCGGTGGAGGCGGTTATCCTGGTTACCGTGTGTGCGTGGGTGAGTGCACGCGCGCGTGCTTTACTCTTTTGTGCGTCCGTAGAGGCGTGAGTTTAACTCGGTGTGAGCGAGCGCAGCGATGCTATGGCAACGTCAAGGCGAAGGCGCTTATGATTGGCTAGCAGGTGGATGAAGTAACCACTGATTAGGTGAGCGATGTTAGCTTACACGCGCACGCACGTGAGCACGCAAGTACGATAACAACTAAGGCTGTTGTGCTGGTTCCTCCCCCCAACTCCACACCTTCGTCACTTGACTCAAGGTTGTCTCTGTTGTTTAGAGACGCGATTTCGAAGATCAAGACTTCTATAATAGCCCGTTGGCGATTTCGAACGGAACGATTAAGTTACCATCAGGATGATATAGCATGAACTGCCAAACCAAGCCGAACCGTAACACTCACCTTTGCCCTTATTATGTCTCTGAGTATAACGATTGTTTATGAAAAAGTGGAGCACCAAAATGCTTTAAGTAGCTCTCAAATTTGACCTTACTTTTTGAAGCAAACTATTAAAATTGCACCAATCTTGATAGCGCTAATTTTATGGTTAGTTCAAAACCGCCATTTTCTATTCTTTTCATGCAAAATTTTATGCCTTTGCAGATGATCATGCCCTATTGTTTAGCGCGAAATCTCCAAAAGAGTCCAAAACACCCTCCAGATTACCATCTCTTTGCCCTTCAGACTGCAGCATATTGATTGCATTATTTCGAGGAGGTGGTGTTTACGTGCTCGACACTGATTTCCATGCAAGAACATCCACCGGCTACGAGCTCGAGTTTTCACCTGCCCCACTTCTATTGCAAGTGAAGGTCTGTTCTTTCTGGGATAGAAAGCAGATGGCAAAACTATCGTCTTTGTTAAAATATTTCCCAATAAAGGTTAAAGATTCCGTACTTCTTAATTCGAAAGATTTTAATGTTTCTTTATAGGTTCTTTAAGGTGGCCGCGTAAAAGATGCCTGGTGAGTGGTCTGCTTCCTCTTGGTAGATTTATGAAGAACGCCAACCATCGGGCCCCTTAATCATACCACATGCACTGTTGTCATGTCTGCAAAAGTGACGTCAAATCACGTAATAATCTATAAAATCAGTTAAACTTAATCATTTTGCCATTTTTACTATAGGTTCTTACAGCATCAATTAAATTTCTTTCCTTCTCAAAATGAGTGACCTCATGGACCCCCATTAAAGCTCGCGGGGTCAAGTGTTTTGAAAGCACCCTAGTGCATCCCCAAGGGAGGTACGAAGGAGTGATACCTTGACAGAAAATATATTGCCTAAAGACAGAACATCTTGAGCTGCTGCTATGAAATTGCAAGGCTTCGCACAACCCAGGCGAATAGCTAGGCAAAGCACTGTTTCGTTCAACAATGCAAGTCGTAAATTTATGCCTATGTTGGGATATTTTGCCGTTTTGTAGAACAGTGTCATCAAAGAAAAGCTTATGTTCGGTTTGGTAAAGGCTTAAAAATTATACAAGGAATCAATGGGAAAGTATGGGAGAGAATATGATTTATAGAGGAAAGAAAAATTTAGGAGGACAAAGGGATTGTTCCGTTTCCAGCATTTCCGTTACCCCATCGGAATTGAAATGACAAGGCTAATTCCGGTTTCCAAGATGACTTCAGTGAGCTGGACTTGAGCACAATTTTAAAGACTTAATAATTATCTCGTTAAAAATTTAATGTTGCATAGTGCATGTAAAGGGTATACAGCATAAAATCGTGTAAAGTGAGAGCGTGCCTCGACGCAATCCTCTGAAGTGACTTTCTGCTGCTTGTTTGCAGAGAAGGCAGACGTACGCCTCGGTCTGTTGGTTTCGAAGTATTTATTTGACTCTATTCTATTTTCCTCCTTTTCTCAACACTCGGCATTACAATCCGAGGTTGAGTTGGGCGAAAATGGCAGGAACTTATCCTTACGGGTGATAAAGGCAACGTGCCAAGCTCCAAGCTCGAATAGTTTAAGGAAGTTCGATAATTTTTGAGGTCGGTTACTAGATAGTGGTGCTACGAACTCTATACTGATCTCTGGTTGCAAAAGCAACCAAAATTACCCACTAGCATTTATTTCTCTCGAGAGTTCCTGTAGAGACAAGTGCTTAATGTATAAATGTGAATAACAAACATTTACCATTTTAGAGCTAAAGAAAATCACATCTTTCTATGCCCTTCTCATTGGCACAATCACTTTTAGACATTGTTCGTAGGATCCTGATCCTACGTAGTATCCAGAGAAATGGCAAAATTTCGTGGAACAACAGTTCTTTTCTGCCAATGATACAGATAAAGGGCAAGCTATTAAGTTTACCTTTGATCGTAATTAGACCAAAACGATTGCCTCTTTATGATACAATCGTAGTTAACTAAAAACACAATGCTAAAGGTAATTATACAAGGCAAACTCTCGAGTGGAAACAGCATTTAAGTAAAGAAAATGAAAAACAAACAGGTCAAATAATTGCCTTTACTAATAATAAATAAGTAGGAAGTATTGGACCAGATTGAGGTCCTTGGAGGTGCAATCGACATTACTTAAGCTAGAGGAAGTTGTTGAGCGGCTGCGAGAGAAATTAGGCGCTAATAATGCTAAGCATGTGCACAGTCTGTGTAGTTGTTAAACTCGGATCATGCTGTGCTGTTGTAGGGAACTAGCAAGTGCAGGTAATTGTGAGATGGCCTCAGGTTAAGTCAAGGTAGGATAAATGGTATATGGCGCCACCGCAGGAAATGCTACCCTAAACGTCAGTAGTATGCGTTTCGTGTGCGTCAAATTATAAGTGCTCGGTGTTTAGTTTTTTGTCTTTGTTCATTGACCATTTTTGATTCCGTTATAGCAATAAATTTGTTTCTGGTTTCAATTCGGGCAAGTAAACAAGATCTTTGCAATCAACCTGTCTCACTATAATCTATATATTGGTAAGGCAAATGTTTAAAAAAAGATGTAGTTAGCAAAAAAAGAACCTCATCTTTAAAATGCATTCATGGAAAAGTCGTTCGAACAAATTATTTGCACTTAAATCTAATTAGTAGTTGGAACTTCGTAAAGCACAAAACCTAGGTGAACAATTAAGTGTACTTATATAATATCACTACAATATATATCAAAATAATTAATTGGCGCTATTAACTCGTAGGTCACTGGGCTGTTGCCGGTTCAAGATGTCGACACCGCATCAGTCTCAGAAACACCCGTCTTCGTGATCAGTGCTTTTGCTTTGCCTCGTTTATGAACGTCCTTATAAGGCTGAAATTAGAGCTATTGCTTTGGAAAATTCATTGCTTTGTAATGCAAAATATTTGTGAATCGGCAAGTGTCTAGATGCATGATCACATCATTATTTAACTAAGGTAGTGAATAAAGTGTCCTTTCTTCCTCTTAAACCTAGCAATGCTTAATGTCATATGTTTCCATGGCATCTAACTATTTACTGAATAACATTTCCCAAGTGTTCCTGTTTAACTATCCATTGTAAACTTGTGAACCATTTTGCTTATTTCTCTGAAGTAAGCCTTATTGCGCAGGATGCCATATTTCCATTCCGGATTAAACGCTTTCGTAGCATCTTTTCTGACTCTCTAAGGTAGATTTAGTGCACTTTGTGACCCTCTCGATTATACCCACCTTTAAACTCCACATTGCCAATTTACCTCTTTTGTAAACAAAGTCGAAAGCTGCAGGTCACATTTGCCCACTCAGCTTTAGCTGAATACGAAAGAGATTTTGAAGGCAGTGTTCTACATTTATCAAATATTGTCTTCTCAAATCTTGGTTTATTTTAAATGCTATGGATCAAATCTAGTAGGTTTGCTATCTCTCACCATGAAAACTTACTGTTGGAGGAGTGACCAGTTGTAGTGAATTCGCGTGCCTCCTAACCTTGCCACCTTTGCAACGAGGCAATGCAGCCCTGAAATTTTATACTTGTGCAATTTAAGATCATCCACGTACTCTATCCCTGGATGAAGGGTTTCGAGTTGCGAGTACTGGCACCGCGTTACAAATGCGATGCAAATATGAAGCCGATACTAAACGAGCATACCTTTCGTTTCTTAGGGGTGTATTTTTCGCTATTCTGGCTAAACTGTCTGCTTATCATACAAAGAACGGAACCGCAATTACTCCCAGCAAGTCAAAAGGTCACCAAACTTCATTGGCCCCGTGGGTAGGAGATTCAAACATCAGGATAAAACGCATGCATCTAGACAGTCAACTTTAAAATCGACACCTACAGACCGTCATAATATCCAAAAACTAAGCCTAAAATGTAATGGGCCCTTCAACCCGTTCATCAGAGGAGCCATTTCCATTTGATTGTTGCGGGGGGAACAGGGGACAAAAACGAGATTCGATTTTTATTTATTTTTTTGGAAAATGATCTCGAAAACTGAACTTCACTTTTATGGAATTAGAACATTTTACGAAGGATAATGGAATAAGTTGCTTGTTGCATTGTTACACTTCTCCTCTTCCACACACAGGCATCATCCTTTGAAACACTTGAAGCAGTTTTCTCTGGCTGTTTACAAAGTTCTTGTATTTGGAGAAATTTATTCCGAGAGTTACTTTAAAAGATTAATTCAAAAAGTTCATATTCAAATTGATAAAGTTGGCCAAAATGCAGGGTGTCAAGTTCTAACAAGTCTGAATGAGAAATGTTTTGGCTGCCATTTCTTGTTATTGCCTTACCTCATCAGTTTTTGAAAGTAGTCCAACGAGTGCCAAGGCCAGGATTATGCTTCAAGCTATGTAGAAATGATCCCAAGTTCGTTGTCTCAGCCAGCGCTTAAAGCAGGATTTTCTTATTTAAATTATTCCACAGCATCTTTACCATGACTAAATTACATCAAGTTTGCAATGATAAATAGAAGTGAGTCCTCTTGCAACTAACAACGCATCGTGGCGAACCAGTGGTTGATTTTGCTCCCTTTAAGTTTCCTCTACTCCCGAGGTGATGAGCCTTTATCCGTATAGTGACCAGTGGGACTTTCCAATCCAAAGTTTTTTCTTTGAATTTGTTGTGTGTTTGAGTATAACACGAGTACTAAGTGTGATGGGAGATGTGTAATGTGGCAGGCTTATTTGCGCCACTCGACCTTTTCTAATTCACTCATCCGACAGTCACTTTTGCTCAACTCCACCTAGTCAATCTCCTTTCAACTACTGAGACTGCCCTTCTTCTAGCATCATTTTGATGTCAAGAGGAACCAGGCAAATCTGGTAAACCAAAATTCAATGATACTTCAAGTTCGGAATCAATTAGCTGATGTAGCACGTAGTACCCGTAGAAAGTGAACTTTACTAAGACCTAATCATCCGCTGTTACATAAATGATGCCTTTGATCGAAGGATAACAAACATCAACTTCACTCGTCAAACGCAATGCTTCATCGCATATATCGGAAGCAGTTTGTTTTTGTTTGGTGAGAAAAGTCTCAGAAGAAGCAACGACCGCTAAGGCTAAAACTTCTAGACTGATCGTGATAAGAAAAAGGAAGTAATTTATTTAAATGTCTGGTGCGTTTCATCCAATCCCCTAGACCGATCGGAATGCCGCACTCCCATCAAACCTGTGACCGTTATGACCTGCTTGAGTCAGGCTGCCGACTCCTTCTGCCGCTATGCTTGATACTAAAAGCTGACAATGCCTTACTCTTCACTGCTCAATTCACAAATGCCTAGCTGGAAGTAAATAAAATCTACATTCTCATGCAGGATCAAAATCGCTCGTAGCAGCACTGACGTCGCCTTCATATAGAATGTAATTCATTTATTTAGTATTTACTCAGCCAATCCCATTCATAGATTGAGCCATTTAACAAAAAAAGCGTTTTCACCAAATTATGACGATCAGTTGACCTCAGCATTGGTAGTAAAATATACTCGCTAAGTAAAATTAATGACCTTGTCAACTAACCCTGACGCCATTGCTGTCTAATCATATCGGACACTGTCGGAAACCCACAAACGGCTAAATGTTTGGTTGGTTGAATATGCATTTGCCATACCCACAACAGTCTACCACCACCCAACATAATCCAAGACAAGCTGTTAGTTGTTCAACTTTTCCCGTATACTTGACAACGGCACAAGTTACTACTCCTTCTGCAATATTCCAAGCAAATTCTTTCTCAATCCGTACATCAGCTCAGTAATTGAGAACCCGCTCCTGCTACTTGGATTAATAAGTAGAAGAAACGTTTGTGAAAAGTCGATTTAAAATTAAAAATTTATAGAAAAGTTATTAAATCCGTTGTCCTTCCCGCAAGAAAGATCGCCAACATAGCACCTTCAGAGATGTTGGTGCTACCAGATCAAATGTTGATCCTCAAAGGGAAAACTTGACTCTATGATCAATTTGAAAAAGTTGATTCCACCTACAATGGTTAAACTTCTTGCCGTGAACTCTGGATTGATTGAATTGTATCCTCTTTAAATAAGTGTAGAAGCTGTTTTCTAGCTTTCTCGAATTAATCAGTACAGCATTTCACTGACAGCACTGTAATAATGAGGCGTCACAATTGCTACCACAATTTAGGCATTCCCATTTCCCATTTCCTTTGAGCCGGATAAATACCACAAGGGATTCTGATGGGGAAGAGATGAAACAGCACCTCTCCCCATTTTATCCAAAGGTGCATATGCAGTACCAACTCCATGGCACAGTGTTGCCTCTGGGATAGGAGGGAACTCACTGTCGTCCAACTGACCGGCTCTACTTGCTTCTAAATGCACTAATGTTTGTTGGTCAGCTCATTCTCACTTCCAAGTTTGATTAACAGTTCCACTTGGCGTCCACCACTAGCATGCACACAGAACAGTCCTAGTGAATGGGAAGCATGCTTTGAAGTGGGAAGGTTAACGACGCGAGACCCATAGGAATCATTTATCATCACAAGTCAGTTAGCTAGTCAAAGGAAATTTCCTCATTGCTCAATGTCAAAGATGCTGGCCTCTGTCTTGGTACATTGAGTGCCACTATTAAAGTAGGTACATCTGGGTCAACCTCAGTAAATTCCCTTTATTAAAGGCCTTTGCAAGTTACATCGTCACACCACTCCAAAAACGTGCAGAGTATAGTACGCTACAATAGAAATGCCGTATAAGGTGGGTGACTTTGGTAGTGCTCATTGGGACGGTCCTACTCATCGTCAGACAAGTAGCAGCATCCCTCAAGGCCCGTACGGTAAGACTCCGCGTAGGCGAGAATCTCGCGTAGCCTTATTTCCCAAGTACTTTCATGTTTCAAGTGCATACAATCAGTTTGACAACTTTTGCACTGGTAACGTACAGACAACTAATTTGTACTTACAGCAAAATCAATAGTGACAATAGCCATTACCTTGTCCTAACCGTGGCGAAACTATTTTGAAGCTTCCGGCTAAGTTCGTTTTAAGGTGCCTTAATAAAAGAAGTTAGAGATTGCAGAAGTGCCTGTGCCAACAAAAGAAAGCTCCTGAACAGACCGTACTACTACCGGGAAAAAGCTCTGGACTAGCTCTGTTGAAGAGTGACATGAAAAGTTTGCATCCCACAGGACGAAGATAGAGCAATTTGAGTAGAAAAACATATTCATTGCAGATCGGAGTTTGAATTACCATACTACAACAAGACGAGCAACCGACTCTACAAAGGCAAAACTAAGAGAGGCATTTAAGTGCCTCTCATGGCTCAAAATGTAGGCATCAAAGACTCGGTAAGAACCGCTCGACAAAAAAGTTACAACGATTGAAACATGCCTGACCAAGGGCAAAGAAGGACTGGGAAAGATAACGGCCACTCAATGCAATCTTACTAATGAACTTGCGGAAGGATCGAGAGGCTGTCGAGGTAACTCCATTCCACCAGTGTCGCAGCTAAACAATAGACGACTCAAAAATCATCTCGGTCAAACGTGCAACTATCACTTCCCAAGTTCCTTTAGTGACCGAGAATTAGAATTTCCGCATACATGCAACACTCCGATCCCGAAAATTGGTTTGAAGCACCGAATACTGGGGCACATAACAACTTAGTAGCCCTGCAAACAAATTGGACGAAGTTAAAAGGACGAGAGGGGTCGGACATTCACAGTTTGAGGATGGTCACATTTCAAAATTAATAGCAAGATGGTGAGAAGGGATATCACACCAAAATAGCAAAACACCAACACGATATTGATCAAGTCCAGAAGCAACCGTGGTAACCTACTTTCACATATTCGAAGCCTCTAACCTTAAGTGGCTGTTATGACTCGAAGACAGATGTCATGTGATTCACATATCCCTAGCACGTAAACAATTTTCTCAGCAATTCTAAATATATATACAATGTTCACAAGAGATATGGAATGAGGTATGCATACCAAGTGCTCACAAAGCAAGCCTGAAGTGGGAGTAACAATCCCACACTTAATATCTTTTATGCAAAGCGTCTAAGTTAAAATAGCCGAGACGCATACAGACATGCGGACAGCAAAAAATAAAGTAGTTAATCTAGTAAGAAGCAAGGTAGAGTGGGTAGGAGTAACCGCAACAAACACCGAAAAAGAGGACATTAAAAGTAGATAAAAATAACAAGAGGAGCAAACGATCATACAGTGATTATTGATGATAAAGCTTCAATGCAAACCAGACAAGGAGAAAAGTTAGTGGGGACGGATAGACGTCGAGGCTATGCCTGATTCTGACTGGTTACGCAGACGAAGACTGGGCAAACTTCCCACAGGGGAGGACGGACAAGAGGTTGTAGAGGACGAGATTGATTGTAAAAGATGCTCAATAATCAGATCTGCAGCAATTTGGTTTTCGGGGGCTCGCGGAAGAATAACATCGGCGTACTTTTTGGTCTAAGTGATAGACAACTATTAAACTACCATTCCCCCGTTTGAAAGATCAGAAGGAAAAGAATTCAGAACGTACAGGTAGGCAGAACTGTTCAAATGCAGGTTTGACAAAATTGAAGTAGTTTTCCAAAACTGCGTTCAAGTTTCTTTTGCGCTCGACAACATCTCGAATGACTAAAGAGGTTAAATGCTTTCAAGAGCAAAGGAGTACCTTTACGTGAAAGTCGTGTATCTGCATCAGCTTGCACGAATATTTTCAGATGAAACATGTCCCGAATCTCCTTTTGATAAAAGGTGAGGATACCCTCAACTATGACGACGTCAATACCGGCAGGTATTTCGATTTTGTGGGGAGAACTATAAAAGAAATTAACAACGACAGCGACTTTACTTAGAAAAGGCCTCTGGGTCATAGGAGTTTAAAACAACAGATTCTCCTCTAATAATCTTTCTCAAAACATCTGCAAGTGCATCGAAATCAAAAGCATCTAAAAAATAAGACGAAAATAAAACTCACTGGGATGGTCAAGATCCAATTTCCCACATTCTGCCAGTTTGATATCCTCTTCTGACAAGTCATGGTAAAACGAGTAAAGGGATAACACTATTGACCGCTTTCCTCTGGCTTTCTTGTTCAATTCCTCTATGATTTTTGCACAAGTTTCATTCTTAAAAGTAAAAGTGGGAAACACAAACTACCTTCCCTGAAGCGGCTCCCCCACTGACACCGATTAAGAGGGGCTTAGGCGCTGAAGACAAGCCCATCATCAAGGTCAACAAAAAATACAATCAGATAGTTTGCGTAAACATGAGTTAAAACAAGTTCCAAAACTTCAAAATTATTCTCAAAACGCTAAAAACTAAGAAATGTGTTTGGTTTTATAATTTTTGTTTATTGTAGCAGATCTTTTAAAGAAACTGATGTACGTAGTTTATACACTTCTAGGCTACCGTGACGGCCCTAACGACAGAGAATGGGAAAAAACATTGAGACAAAAGGTAGAGAAGTGAGGCCACTGCTCGGACAGAAGCTTAGCTCAAGCGATAAAAGAAGACGGTCGCCAAAGTGATAATTATGCATAGTGGTAGTCACATAAACACAAAACTACAAATTCTATCAATGCAGTAACCAGTTTGTTTAATTACTCGTACTTGTGAGGGAAACTTTACTATCAATAATGTTTTTCCAGGGTGTGCTGGCCTTAAAACCATGTCGAAATTCCACCTCTTTCATTTCCTTCCGAGTATATAAATATTATCACTATATATATAGCTGATTTATAGGAATGGAACAAAACTCCACCTTAGATAAATTCAGTTCTTGTTTTGCGGAGTTAAGGAAGGGCATACATTACGACTAGGCGAATCTCTGATTTTCTGAATTTCTGATTTTCTCTGGGTTCCCCTTTTCAGACAAATCCAGCCGTAACAATACATGCAGTGTTTTGGCTTGAATAATTTCGTTCCAAAATTCGCCTCCCATTTACAATGATGTGGACAAAAGGAAATTGTGATAAACCTACCCTACACACATCGTGTGGCCCATACTACACCTGACGGTAAACAGGAAGATCTCAAGCGTGTGATAGAGTTCCTGCAGTATGCGAAACCTTGATCCATCTGGGGTACTGAGAGAGGTCAATGTAATACATAGTTTTTGTGACCTCATGATATCTGGCGGTTACTCTGGTATTCGTTATGCCCTCTTACGGGTAGGCTGGCCTTGGTCCATTCCACAACCCTATCCGTTGTTGTTGGAAGCCTCGTGGAGCTACAGTCAGTGCCATTTCTCTTCACTTGCATGGGCGTGGTTGCTTAATGCGGCTGGCTCGTGTGTGCTTTACGATGGCATCAAATCCGTTGTGATGGCTTGTGTGGAAGGCGTAGGTGACGTCACTCGAAAAAGGACTAGGTTCTTCTTTATTCTGCCTGATTGTCAATATCAATAATGTAAAGCAGGCAGCTTTATTTTTCTTTCCAGTAAATCGATCTTCAGATTATGCCAAAAGCCCTTCTCGCCTTCCCGTCTAGATTATGTATTCGACACTACTATTACACTTTCGATCACCTAATTGGACTCGATTGATTAAGACAGGAATGTCTTTAGTCACAGAGACCGAGAACGTATTTGAAGGTGAGAGACGGATAAATGGTGGCAAAAAATGCACACTTTTGCGATATAGTAAGAGCTGGGACTACTGCCACGGGCTCATGGTCCATTTCAACCCAAAATCAGTGAGGTGACCAACCATAAAACCGAAATTGCAAATCAAACAAACACTAAATCCATCAGATTGATTTCACCCTTTAACAAGTTTATATGGGTTTGCCAAATGCTTTTAGGGGTGCCGGCATAATCGTTTTTGGCGCCTTAACTTATACCTTAAAATGCGTGTTATACAGTTGCATGCCTGATTTGGTTTATGCCAGCAGACTGTATTAGTCCAACTACTTAAGTCAATAAAAGTTCTTGTGCAAAAAATACCTTTCCTTAAAAATCATATATAGTTGCATGATATCATTAAACATTTGTGCGTTTCACTGATGTTTGTGTATCCATACACGGATGGTGTTGGCAAAATCATGCCCTTCGGGCCATGTTCAGGCTCCGTTAGCCCTGCCATCTTCGGAATACGTGTATTCAACCTCACTTATGCCTTCTTCCACCCTATGGGAAGCCTCAGGACGCTACACTGGTGGCAGCGGAAAGCGAACCCGACGTCTTCTTAACGACTTTTAGATGTGAGGTGCTTTCGAAAGCGACGTAGTCTCCGGAAGAATCTGTTGCCCAACAGACACCGCTGTCTTACTGACAT